TTTTTCCGCTCCGATGAGGAGACCATTCATCTGTAGGACATCCAGTGTTGCTAAGGATAGGTCGTGAAAAAATTGTCACTGGAGCCACAATAAGCCAGGCTGCAAAATACAGACTTTTTCGAAATCGGGAGTGCAGAGTTTAGCGTTTGGTTGTGAACCAGGCCACGACCCGATTCAAGTTTAATCCCTCAGTGATACATATCTCCAAGATAAAGGTCAAAGGTCACAATGGGACTTTATTGGCTCGGTCGTAACAGAAGATGAAGGGATAAGGTTTTTACTGTCTTTCTCCGCTTTGTCTAAGGACGGAGAATTACTCAGCTCGAAATCACCTGTGCACACCATTTGTAAGACAGGAAGTGCCAAAGGAATAGCAGATATTTGATGTCGTTCCTGTCTTCAAAATAGATGTTATATCTGAATATCAGCCAATTATCAGAGTGCCCGTTTGATCATGATCGCTTCCAAGTTGCCCACAGATATGATCCCACGCAGGAATACCAGCACCTTTGTGAGGAGAGCCGTGAAAACCAAGCAGAGTTCCGTTCGGGTCGTGGCTGCATTTACCATATCTCTACCTCACGACAACTGCTGGAGCATCGTCACACAGAAAAACAATAATTGTTGTTCTCATGTCTGAACGTAATGTCCGGCTCGGTCGCGCTGCTTTGTGGGGATGTCTATCTTTCAATGGTGTGCCACGCATTTTCTTCACAGTCCTCCAACCATCATACTATATACCTGCGGGCGCGTTAAGGTCTGCTGGGAATACTCTCCCAACATGACCAAAAGTGGTGCCCTTCAGGCTTACTGTTTGTCACCTTTTCTCCATAACCTAATAGTGGATTAATTAAGTGAGAAACTTTTGTTGTCTTTCACCCTAATTTTGGACCTTCTTTCCTGGGAAGCCCTTAAATTCATTGAATATTTGGCCAATGTTGCGCTACTTCTTTCAGTTTCCATTCAGATAAGAAACACACCAAATAACCTAAGTGATGTTACCATGCGTTTCGAATTGCGTCTCTCACCCTCAAAGTACGAAGTGCTATTATACGACTGGGCGAGCGCGCCACTAAAACAGGCTATGGTGTCAGAACCAAGTTACTGTCTGATTTCGTTTCCCCATCCTGCTGCATTCGGGGATTAAGGCGACCCGGTCGATGGCATGATTTCTTCTTCCAGGATGGGGACCGCGTGATCTTCACTGCGCCTGGTTGGAGACACTACAGGATATGGCTGCCAACCGATGTCAGTGGCGTTCTTGTTGTCAGTTTCTGTCCAGATTGCCTGAGTGAATGTCTGGAGGTGTAGGCACCTCGGAATGATTGTGTTAAGCTAGCACTAAGTCCCTCCCCCATCCACCTTTACTCTTTTTTTTTACAATAAAGCTTTCAAATAAATCATGATTGTAAGACAGTGAAGCGTTGGTGTTGAACACTGATGTCTTGCTGTCGATGATGATGTCATGCTGTCGATTGCGGGCGGGGATATTGTATGGCCGAGCTGTTTCGGTTGTTTAGGAAGATAACGCTGCACATTAATTGTCTATCCAGCATATAAGTCAGGCGTTCGTGCTGTCGATGATGATGTCATGCTGTCGATTGCATGCGGGGATATTGTATGGCCGAGCTGTTTCGGTTGTTTAAGAAGATAACGCTGCACATTAACTGTCTATCCAGCATATAAGTGCGACAGGCGTTCGCCATTATCCGTGCGTCCATAACGGCAACCCAGTTGAGTCTCAGAAGCGCTAAGCCTACCTTGTTGAGCATTTATATCCCCGGCAACCACGACAGCATCGTGTTCCCCCGATCACCGCAACAAGGCGCCCAAAGCGTCTTGAAAACTCTTTGAGAATATGGCTACAATTTTTTTGGGATGTAAGCAGATACAGTGAATGGAGAGTGATTATCGGGATTTTACAGGGCACTTTCACAAACGTTACCAGACGAATTACACAGTCATCTATCAACGGACAACCATTCAAACGGACATCCCTCAGCCCGATGGCTGAGAACAATACACACACCCCTGTAAAACCATCCACAGCAGCTTCTGGATCAGGAGAGCTGCGTAACCAAAAGCGGGCTGAAACTGATGGGTAGGTCAGTTAAACAATCTTACCTGGGCCTTGAAACTTCCTCAGCACACATCAGTAGGCAGCGAATTCAGTTTTTATGCAGGAGCGGCCTGTTTTATGGCTTGTTTCATAGTCCGGAGGTTGAAGGCTGTCAGCTAAACTGAGCGTCGGGGTTTGAAGAATGATTTAGAGGTGTCTATGGTCGTGGTGGCCGAGTTGACCAAAAATGTTGCAGTTGACAGCAATGGGAAGCGAACGGATCTGCCAGTGTCTACGGATTTCTCGCCGACAGCGATGTAAGGAGAGGAGAAAGAAATGATATGTGAAAGAGGAAAAAGGGAAGCATCAGCAAAACCCCATTTCCCTATACGTGCCCTTTTGTATGCCGCAAGTAAAGTGACCCAGCTGATGTGGCCGTTGTGTTCGATCAGGGATAGACTGAGGCAACGATCAGACTAAGAGAGGGAAAGACTGAGGGGCCTAAAGCTAGGCTTTATTCATCCAAAACTTTGACACCGCGAGCTGAAACGAGAACAAGTGAATTAACAATAAGTGATGAAACGTTTCAAAAAAAAACAGGACAAATGCACAGCGTTCACCCCCGCTGAGATAAATGCTCACTGAAGTTTGTTTTACAACTTAGTAATGTCAGACCTCTCTCTTGCTCAAGAACTACGGTCGTATCCGCTGTCGCTGTACAACCAGTGGGTGTTCAGAAGAATCCGACATTTCATTTTCCCAAACAGAGGAGTCAGATAGTTCCAGCTTAATGAGTGAATCGGTGTTGGAGTGTGATTGCTGCTGTTCGGATGCTGCAGTGCATTCAAAATCTTCAGAAGGCACCAGTTTACGTAAGGAGACAATTTCTTCCATACCGTTAGGGTGCCGGACATACGCGTATTCAGAGTTACATTCCAGGAGCCCACTCTCTTCGACTACGGAATCGTACTTCAAATGTCATGTATTTCACCACATCAGATCTGGTTCTGGCAAGATCAACCACTGCGGCAATGATGTACCGACCGATGTACCGATTATAATGAAATATTCGTTCGTATGGAGTGACATGCTGGCGGGGTACAACAGGGAACGAATATAAAGGAGCGCGTCTTGCAAAACGGTCTCCTAATGGTTGATTTGAAGACCTTTTGATCGTAATGAAAGCCTAATGGCTTTCCACAAAGTTCCATTTAATCGGGTTATATAGATTGGTCCCACTGGTGGCGGTGTCTTTCTCGTGAATAAGTCGCTTAATCTCATCCAAAAAATGAACGATGAGTAACGATCCGAATGCACGAAAGTAGTCAGGCTAGTTTAGAAAAGAGCGACATCATACATGATATCGCCGTAGATGAACTTATGTCTGGACAAGGATAGCTGAACGGGAGATGGGAGTGCTGGTCTACAACCGTCAGTAGGTATTTCGAGTCGTCAGAGGCAACAGTGCTTTGAAGTCGATGCCTAAACGTCCAAACCTTTGGAGCGGCTTTATTGGGTGTACCACCAGATGATGCACACTCATGACATCGCTTAGTGACAAGTCGAATGTCCTCCAAGGAGAATAGGAGATTCCTGGCACGAACGAAATATATCATGCGTGTTGCTGCAGGATGGCACAGAGTTGCGTGTAAGCGTTTTAGATCCGACTGAGTTGACTTGTTCGCACAGACACTCCGAGAGAGCGTGTTAGCGGCTTTGTTTTTTATGCCTGGTCTGTGGGTTGAGTCAAAAGAAAAAGCCGATAACTCCATCCGCCATCGTTGGATTTTATCGTTTTTTGTTTTCCCTTTTCGTTGTATTGAAAGCAATAGGCGGCTGGTCAGTTACAGTCTTGAAATGGGTCCCGATGTGTTAATGTCACCACCTGCGCACTGCTTCGACAATTGCTCACGCTTCTTTTTCAATAGTAGAATGATGTTTTTTACTGGCAGACGGTGTACATGAGAAGTATGCGACCGGTCTGCCATGTCGACTGAGTGTAGCGGAAACCCGAACATCAGACACATCAGTTTTGAGTACCAGAAGTATTCTCGGATCGATAGTGATCACGACTGCATCCACCAACTTTTTTGAGACTTTCAAACGCTTTCATGACAGCTGGTGGCGAGATGGCTAAGTGGTTAGAGTGCGAATTTATTGACGGGAAGGTTCAACCTCCGCCCTCGACTTCCCCTGACTAGTTTGCGCAACCTGACAATGTCCCACCCTTCGTGCTTCCTCCGGGTGGCATGGCAGCTAGGCACCGAAAGGGTGTAACAGCTGAACGATTTTTTTCATAACAGAGTCAAGGACTGGAAAGGTTGTATTGTGAGTGATTGGGTAGATTTCATCAGAGAAACGGCTTGTTCAACGAGCGAACAATGGCATGACAGTACTTTCAGTTATTAAGAGTGCATTATGACCTTATGTTCTGTCTCCCTTCTAAAGTCGACTTGGAACCACTCATCTTTAGCTAATTCAGCCTTGTTGGTCATTGCCGACTTCCTGGATGAGGATTCCGAGACGGAACAAAGCAGCGGTTAGAGACATTGGTGGACATAGTCTAGTGACACACTCAGTGGCGCACATGCATCCAAGCTGTTGTCTTCAGAGCGTAGCTTCCCTTCAAATCCTTTGAATGGAAAATATACAGCCACTCATGGATTCACGCGTCGAGGTACCAGCTGTTGCCTCCAACGTGTAACTGCTCACCCCTGTCGTCCCAGATTTTTGGCTAACAAAGCCACCGTGTATCTACTCGATTTACAACTTAAGACCATGATTATTAGCTCAGACAGTACAGTGAAGTTCGATGTCTGCTATTCTGACCTTCGGATAACCTACACAGTTGTCCAACCCCAGCTTCCCATTTGATATGTGATGGTACGAAATAGGTGGTTTTACAACGGTAGCTAGGAGGTCATTCTTACCACATCCTGGCGTCCTAAAGTTGTCTAGTGAACTCGCTTGCTTTGGAATTAACCGCGATGCTGCCTGATGCGTAGGATGGCTGGTCACAATACCCGTCCGGTGGGTTTCTGGGAATGAAGTTACTGCTGTATTTCATTCTCATTTTCCGGGTTTCAGCCTTGAATGTCCCCGGAAGTGTGTTGTTCACTGCGATTTTCTTAAAATGCCAGTTGTGCAAGAAGACTTGCGGCGGCGATCCTCACCGCGCTCAACTCCGACTACTTTCCGCGGTGCCCTCAGACAAAACGATGAATCTAGTTCGAGTGCAGGTCTTGAGTACTCGGAATCCAGTACAGTGAAGTGGTCGAGGACGGTAAGTTGTATTTTTCTGCTTTCACGTGTTTCCGTGCTCTGTCCCATTCAGGGAGACCGGGCTAAGTTTGGTGGGGCGTGTACGCTTGGCTTTATGAAAGTCGGCATGAGTGATTTTCCGTGCGACGTAACTCGATGGCTCTTTGAACGGATTCAAAAGCCCTTGTCACGCGCATGCGTTTGACGCGAATTTTTACTTACATAGGAGTGATTAAAATGCGGGGCTCACGTCCTCACACCAGAAAACGGTTGTGGCTATCTGAGAAGCTATCTATCTGTGCAAAAGTGAGAACCTCTCCGATTCATCGAGAAATCCGCAGAAAAGAGCTTGTTGCTACTTCTGAATTTCGGGCTGAAATTCCAAATATGTTTCAATTGCATACCTGGCATTGTTTGTCACCAATTATTTGTTGAGAAACTTTTTATGGAAGACTCGCCTGTCTCGTCCTGAACTTTCTTATCCCCAACCCAACCCCCATCCTCGTGAGTAGCATCGTTCGATGCTTCCACGTTCTACTGTGGAGGGAAATAGAGTGAAGCAAATCACGAACGTCGGTTACCTTAAACATATATTGCTGCCGACGCTCATCTATAAAGGCTGTGCATGTGTCGATTCACCAACCAAAACGCAGCAAGATGCTCAAAATCGTCGAACTGAAGTTAGTAGCTTTAAGGTGCTCCGTGAGCATTGGCCAGTTGTTATCTGCCCGTGACCATTTCAAGTTCGCATTCTAAAGATGTCCATAGCGCAATTAACTGTAAGTTTTATAATCCCGTTGCGGAGCTGGATTCATTTTAAGACCGTTTGTCCACAAAACTTCCGGTGCAGGCTTTCCGAAAATGTACAAATTCCGCGCATTTTCCCTCCCGTTTCGTGTATAATATGACGCGCGAAACCCAATTTATCCCTATTACGGGGGAACCCGGAAATGGGTGTTAAGTAGTATACTAAAAGGACCATAGAACGTGCTCAGAATGTTGACCATAACTCTTCTTGTCATCAGAATTTCGTTTCCAGAATTAACTATGGACTTGTATGAATGTGGCTTACATCATTCCCTGTTGGACTGTTTCTGTGGCTCTAGTGACCAATGACTGCCAAACGAGATGGCTCAGTGATAAGAGCATGAATTTGCTGACCGGAAGGTCCGTAGTTCGAATCCGACATCTGCCTCTCGACCCCCCGTGTCTAGGTTTGGACAGCCTGGCAGTATCCCCAGCTCTCGTGCTTTTTTCGGGTGGTAGGACAGCAAGGCACTGAAAGGGTGCTACAGCGGAACAATTACTTTTTCTAATTTATTTACACCTTCAACTTCAGATAGTCCAATAGAAAAATCCAGCGTTATTAAGTTCCGGAGCTTTGAGGGTCACTCAACTACAGCCAGGATATTTGACA